TCAGCTGGTTTGTCCAGCCTGAGATTTCAACTCCCAAGCAATAAATCATTTTCCAAGCTGCTTTTTCTGCGGGGCTTGGGGAGATATTAACAGGTCTTGGCTGCAGACTGGGAATTTTGGAAGCTGCAGTGATGAAGCTTTGCAGATTTGATGTTCCCTCTGCACCTCCTGCCAGCAAATTGAGGGATTTTAGGACACCTAATACAACTTAATAACCCATTTGGAAATTAAAAAGGGAACATTTTTTTTTTAAATATAGTATATGTATAATAAATAAATGAGATCCCAGTTGGATTTTCCAACCCTCCTGGTCTGGCAACACTGGTGCTGGTGGAGCTCTTTTAATGAGCAAGTTATTTTAGGAGCTGCAGGAGGCTATTCCCACTATAGATCATTTTTACAGCTGCTTTCAAGCAGAGGATGCTTTGCAGCAAAAGGGGAATTGCTTTGTGTTAAATATCCCAAATTCTGCCCAGCTTGTGATTAATCCCAGGGCTCTTCCTTACCATTGGGATTTGCTCACTCTGGGTGGTTCTGGCTTTGCTCACTTTGAGTTTTGAGATAAGTAATTATATTTTTCCTTCATTCTACACCCTGGGCTGCATTTCTGGTCCTCCATCCTCATGGAAACTCCCTCCCCCAGTTTGTAGGTGGGTGGTGATGCCCAGAAATTAATCCAGGTGCAAAGGAGGAAAGGCCAGAGTTGGGTTTTTATTCTGTGTGTGGCTGAAAATCAGCTTGGACTCACTGAAGGCACTGCTGAGCTTCTCTTTCCTGAAATATGGGGGGAAAAAAATGGATTTTCTGCTTGTTTTCCAAGTGAACTAATTCCCAGGGAGAGACAGAGGCTGGACAGGGATATTTGATGTGCTCAAAAACAAATGATGTGGCAACTTTTAAAGTGCCAGAGGGAGCTGTTTGTCCCCCACTTTTCAGGATGCTGAGAAGCTGCATCAGGGCTTTTCCTGAGCACATATTCTGCCAGCCTTGACTCCTCAATTTCCTGCAATTGTTGGAGTGTTCAGAGTAACTCCTTGTTTTTGTTTTCCAGGCTGGTTGTGCCCAGGCTGAAACAAGTCCTGGGGAAGGAAGGGATGGTTGAGTTTCAAGGAAAGCCTTTTTTTCCTTGCACAAACCCACGGTGGGTCCTGCAAAAAAATCCACTGGGAGAATTTACCCAGAGAAGCTGTGGCTGCTCCAGCCCTGCAAGTGCCCAAGGCCAGGTTGGAGCAACCTGGGCCAGTGGAAGGTGTCCCTGCCCATGGCAGGAGGTGGCACTGGATGATCT